AATCTGGAATTGAATAGTTTATGAAGATATATCAATTTGTGCTGGTTTTTGTTTTAAATTTCCATGTACTTAATTAAAATATTTATGAAACATAATTGAAAAGTATGACGTAAGACTCAGTATTTATGATACGGCTACGTTAACGGTTCGTGCAATTTTCATAATATAAAATGTGTGTACCGATAGACAAGATAGTTCGACGTGAATTCTAAAGGACTATTTCCAAGTCAGGTGTGGTCATGTTTTTTTTTTTGACAAGTTGTACTGAAAACTTGATTTCCATGTTACACAAGAATGTTTATGTCGTTGGCTTTAGAGACACTTTTAGCAAATTATTTTTTTTTATCACGCCAAGGAAATGGGGATTTTCCTCTTTTCTCAGATATACTGAAAGATAGATAGCTTGGACGGGAATCGTACCCGCGATCACTGGAATACGATTCTGACAATCTACCAATTTGGGCTACTGTGGATTTCTCATAAGAAATAAAGAAGAGCTCTTGGTGTCATTCGCTACCACAAGTGAAACTTATTAAAAAGATGATTATGGATGCCAGAATAAGATGTATCGATTTCTTATAACAAATTTAATTTATTTGATTAAAGTTAGCTTGAATTGCGCAGATTCTATGCAGTATCTATGATCAAGCTAATATTATGAAATGACATTGTACCCACCCAATCCCCGTTGTCATAATTAGCGGAGATTATCTTCATCTCACTATTCGCATTCCACCTGCATCAAATATTATGAGGAATGGATCTAAACACCCTGACTACTCAAGTTCGACGTAAAAGACAAAAGAATTCACATCTGATCCAAATCCAAATATCGAGTTCATACTCCAGTTTTAGGTACTTTGAAATAATTGATTTTATAGGAAACTGGGTATAATTGGTGTGTACTTTACAGTCTACGTGTAATTTATATGTAAATATAAACGTTTGAAATTTTAGAATTTTTTGATGGAGAGCGCATCGAAAAATCAGTAAAGTATAAGGAAATCGATAAATAGCAATATGATCATTATAAACACTGTAAAGTCTTACTAAGCAATAGACAAAAAAGCAAAAGCCAACAAATCTTGTAAAATTCAACAAATTATTTATGATTTATGACAGTTACATAATCCAAAATGTCGTCTGAAATCGCTATAATAACAAAATTAATTATTTAGTCCAATAATATTACCGAGCGATTCATAATTCCAGTGATTTTGCTCTAGTGTTAAGGCAACGATAAATAATTCTAATATAAACAAGTTGATATACCCCTTCATTTGACCTAGGTCGTATTTACCAATTTTCTGGAAATACTCTGTCAACTTAATCGTAAATTTCCTTCCTGGTGGTTTCAAAGGTCAGAATCAAGACTATGTTTTAACTCATTGGCCTACTCGTGCTGAATTCGGTTTGCAATAGATATTGTAAACCACTCCCTCATAGTTTAATCATCCGTCTACCCTCCTGTCTTCAATCTTCCACGTCATCTGTTGACCACAGTGAACCGCTTTTGGACAAGACAGAGTGGTTTCGCAGTCAACCTTGTCCGATGGGATCAGGCCACTAACTCATCCTGCTGCTGTGGAGCTCTTCAGACCATGTCAGACATTGTCCACAACTGTCCACTGACAATGTTCCCCAGTGGACTGCAGGTTCTGCATGTTGCTGATGACGATAATGATAAATGGCTAAGTACTAAGGGCACATAATAATAATAATAATAATAATAATAATAATAATAATAATAATAATAATAATAATAATAATAATAATAATAATAATAATAATAATAATAATAATAATAATAATAATAATAATAATAATAATTCATACTGAAGAGAACCTGTTTGCCATAATGATCTAAATACAGAAAGATATTAGCTATGTATTATGTTTTTTTTACGAAATAAATATCAATGGTGATGTACACCATTAACTTGATTTTGAACAATGGTTTTGTTCAACAAACATATATATGTAACAATAATCATGATGAAAAACCAACAAACAATACTTATTAAATATACAGAACACTATACAAATTTGCCAAATGGCCAAATCCGCCGCAAAACAGCAAAGTCCGCACTTTAAAGGCAGTGTCCATATGCGCATGTCTGAGGAAAATTGAAATTTAAATAATACGATCCTTTCTGGTATGTATATACCAATACATTTCAAGAAATTCAAGTTCTAGTACCGTCAATATTTACACTGGCTTGATTTCTAATACAATATATTTTCACAATAAAACACTCGAATGGGAAGAGGTGTATATAAAATGTCTGAAACAAGATTGACTAGCTAATTTGCAGTTTAAAAGCGGAATGATACTATTATAATTGTGTCAAATGATGCATGGTAAAATGATATTTATTGTATATATTTTATATCAGATATTCCAAGATACACAAAGTCACAATATTTCTGGAATGTAATAGTTCTTGTTTAATTAAATAATTGTCTTTGAGTTTTACTTTCTTTTCCCTTGTCTTTACTTGGATTTCTAGGTGCCCTATGTACAGCTGGTTTTTCCCATGACACTTCTTTGTAAATGACACAACCGTTGCCAATAAACTAGGGAAAGTTTGAGATAGACTGCGTTCATGGCAATACTTTTCCAGCTTTTAGCTTTTCCAGTAGTAGTAGCAATTATAGTCGTATATGCATGTGCGGTTGCTTCACGGCTCTTGGAGCCTCATATTTTCATAAGAGACGAGAGATCCCACCCGAAGGGTGGGTCTCCATTACCCCCCTCCGTGGTTAGCCATCGGCCCGGATCCACGTGGAGGTTCTTGGCCCAGGGCGGAGCCTTATCGCTTCGTACCAGACCTTAAGACCTTGATTTTCATTACACCTCATACAGACAGAACACCGCCCAAACCACCAGCAGGACAAGAACGCCAGGAAAGCCGCCACCAAAGCAACGCCCGCGTAATTCCACGTGTAGCCTTTTATTGTCCTTAAGAGATGATAACGCAGTTGTTGTACCATATCTTCCTCCGCTTGTTTGTCATCTTTCTGTCTTTCTTCTGCGAATGAAATTGAAGTCGATTCGGATGAAATTTTAAGTGCTAAATTTATTTATCTAGTAAGGGTGTTTACTTTCAACATTTTGTGTTAAATTAACATAATTCGTGTTGAGATAGGACGATAATAATACTGACTAAGCATAACTATTTTGGTAAGGGAAAATGGAATTAATAGTTTGCTAATTAATTATCACACAACGGACCGTTCTGGCGACCTAAGAAGTTCGAGCGTCCGTCTTAAATACAGGAAGTCACGAGTTCGAACATCGGCCAAATCATAGCAAAGACTTATAAAAATGCTGCTAGTTGTCTCGCTTGGCGATCAGTATTAAGAGGTTAGTATGATGACTGGCAGGCCTGATGTTAGGATATATGACTGTGTGCGATACGATTCGCCCCCACCCCAGTTCTATACATCGATATCAACGGCCACACTGCATACATCGTAACGATATGACTAAAAAAAATGTTAAAGTTATTTTGAAATTTAAAATCACACACACACATACACACACACTATTACCTAATATCATCCAATTTCAAATAATGTCATAAACTGGCATATAATGTTAATAACTGCTACCAAAAAGCACCAACTGTCCATGGGACAGTTCGTATTTATGCCTAGACGCAATTTGTTTACTGTCTTAGTTACTGTTAACAGAAACCGACATTGAATCAAGTCATTTGTCTAACGTTCTTTCCTCTGTTTACTGATGAGTTCTTCTATCTCAAGTCTACTAATAGAATAAATGATTTTGCAGCTTTGATTGTGTAGCATGTTGCTGTCATTCGATCTGAGAAAATTGCGCCTTTTTGTCCTCATTTACGTAGATTATGTACATTACTTTGCATAACATCAATATTGTCCCCATTTATATAGATGATGTACATTGCTCTGTACATATTTCACTTTTGTCCCCATTTATGTAGATTATGTACATTGCTTTGTATAACTACACTTTGGTCCACCTTAATATAGATTACGTTCATTGCGTTGTACAAATTGTACTTTTGTCCATAAATATATAGATTATGTATTGCTTTGTACAAATTTATTTAGCAGACGATTTAAGTGCATGAGTATTGTTTAGTATTTTGTCTGACATCTTTAATTGTAAACCGAAATGATGAGTATGTGTCTTGGGTCCGTTAAATACAGAAATAGCTCCTTTATTTAGAAATATTTTCTTCATAACCGCAACGTTTCAAACCAATCCTTCGTATCTGCATTGCAATAATTCGCTCCTGTAACATGCTGTCGTGCTTACTGAGCCATTTTAATGACTGTACTCCTATCTGACTCTGTCAGTGATTTTAATACGAATTTGAACTTTGTCGTATCGCAACTGCGTAAATAATTTATAAATATGAGTTTTAATTTGCTTTTATAACTGCAACAAGTGTATTAGTGTGATATATTGTTCCATGCAAATACTCAAGTAATTTAAGTAATTAACACATTTATGGTACTGTGATTTGAATTTGTCGATGTATGGACGCGATATAGATGTTACTAAACTTTCTCTAGGCGTCAAACTTTAATATGTACGATACTTTTAAGGAAACAATAAAATCTGCAAAGTGTTGATTGGTTGGATTTTGTGTTTGATGTCATTTTGCACAGTATGGCAGGCTTTATGCGGCGTCCAGAATATTTGGTGGAGAAGGACGTGTTTTCAACGTGTTGGGTGCTAGTACATCCGACAATGTTTTTATGAGAGGTAATTTACTGCTCCGATGCTAGAAACACCATACTGTTCAATTTAAGGTTTGTGTGAGTGCGATCAATGTGCAACATTTACTCAATGTATGAAGGTTAAACGAAAATGGGAAACTTTATCATTGATCATGTCTTTTGATTGTACTCTGAGAATAGTCACATTATCTGCGGTAGTTTTCCCCGTCAGTACCGGTGATTAACACCCGATCCAACAAGATGAGTAATTTCTTGCTGTTTCGAACCTCTCTGGTGGCCTAGTGGTAGAATGTCCTCCTCGAACGTGGGGGGTCACGGGTTTGAACCCCGGCCTAGTCATACCAAAAGATTTCAAAAAATGGTACTAACAGCTGCCTCGCTTGGCACTCAGCATTAAGAGGTTACTGTTAGGACTGGTCGACCCGGCGTCATGATAATGTGACTGGGTGGGACATCATGCTACATGTCTGCCGCATTGATGCCTCAGGGCAAAACATCGCTATAAAATGTCACACTGCAGACATTGTAGCGATATGATTGAAAAAATGTTAATGCTACGTTTAAAATCTAAATCACACTCACACATTTGCTTTTTCAAAATTTGGTGTTAGGGAACCCGTTCTAATTTAGCGCATACGCTGATGGGCAGACAAGATCGCATTATCATATCCCTCTTCTAGGTCACATTTTCTTGAAAATCGTGTAAGATCAACTGCGACGACGGTGTTAATGAAGTTTATAATAAACAAAGAGACGAGGAATTTGACAAGGAACAGATCATGCACAGTTGACTTTTATGTGTGTAAATTTGCATCAATAATCAGCAGCGTAAATCCATTAATTTTCGTTTACGGTAATAAGTTTGCGTGAGTGCGATCAATGCGTACAAACACGGTAGAAATAATTCTAAGCATTGTCCTAAACTCGACTAGCCTCAGGAAAGTCGGCATTGAACAGGTGAGTACTAACCTGGTTACGCTTAGCTGGCTGGAAGTTATGAACTAACGTCACATACAAGCCTTTGTGGTATAGTATACAAGCAGTGGATTTCCTAGTTTTCGGAGGTCGTTTGATTATGGGTGTGTACGCATAGATCGGGTGTGGTTTGTTTATAATTGGACTTGATTAGGATAACGTGAATGATTTTCAGTAAGTTGTTCTTATACCTGTCTTGGAAGTCACGAGTTACATTGTTTCTTTCTCCGGTGTTTAGTAACTCTGTTGACTCACTGGCGCTTTGAATCTACAGTTGGTACAAATTGATAACTAATTTCTTTCGAGCAGGAGAAATTGAGAAATTGAAAGCAAAGACTCGCAGTTTGAGGTGTTTGATTTAAAGGTCTTGTATCAAATAAAATGGGGTTTTCAACTACGGTTAAGGTAGCCATGTGGATAACTCTGTTTGCCTTCTTTTTAGAGGCAGTTGGTTTCGCCATTCCCTTCGTTTTTGGGATTGTAATACCTAACGGTGATATAACCTTGTATGCATTCGTCGGAATATGGTACGTTGTGGCATGTGTGAAAGGTCGGGGCATCGATAGTTGCGCTTCGCAAGCCATAGCACAAAATCTGGGATCAGATTACCAAGGAAACATAGATGGAAAAAACATAACGAATTTAGCCAATAATGCAGGCATGGCTCTTGGTAAGTACAAGATTTGAATTTCCTCTTATACAGAATATAAGTAAAACCAGCAACCTATCATATCAATTATTTAAGAAAATATTTACATACAAAATTCTAAAATGTATCATTGATATAACAATGTATGTATGTATGTATGTGTGTATGTATGTATGTATGTATGTATGTATGTATGTATGTATGTATGTATGTATGTATGTATGTATGTATGTATGTATGTATGTATGTATGTATGTATGTATGTATGTGTGGGTGTGTGCGCGCGCTATGGGTATGTATCCGTCACCAGATGAGTAAGTTCAATATCGTATTATAATGACTGATTTGTCTTTAATCCGCTAGAGCTACTTTTTGTATCGTTTACGAAGGTACTTATATTGTATTTAAAACCGTAGCTATCCATGCGGAGAGGACGCAGTTGTATATAGATTCTCTGATCTCATCTAGGCGGTCATTGTAAATAGAGACAGCAATGTTATTTACGTCGCGGAAGTCCACACATTGAAAAACTGGTAGCAATTTAAGTTAGCGCAATAAAAGCCTTCCGGTTACCGTTTGTAAAATTTGCCTTTTTAATTAAAATATCCAGCTCCTCTTAGTTCATATGACATTAAACTGGCCTATTCGGATATGAAAAATTGATCTGGCTGCTAGTATTAATTTATGCGCATCCGTCATAAAAGGCAACAGACAATCAAGAAACCCAATTTTTCTGTAATATATTTGTCAGATTTTCTGCAGCACCAGACTTATGAGATAGATGTAACTATACCTTGAGTGACTACCCCTATTAGATATTTGGCTGACAGCTTATAATTTGAATTACTACAAGGCATTTTTGTACAAAAAAAAGTTAATAACAATGAAGGACAATGACTCCACCACTCCCACCACCAAATTCATTTAAAAAAAACATACAGGCATTTTTTGTATCAAGTTTTGTCCACTGTACAAAACAAAGTTTAGCCATGTTTGAATTATGTCATTGGTGTTGTGGAAACTTCTTTGTACGATCGCCACAGAAAAATCAGGTTGGTACATGTCTTTCAAAAGATAATTTATTCTAAGTTTGAGCATGCACATAGACTCGTTCTCTCTTAAAAGACTTTTGATATTACAACACATGTGTCTCTCACTAAAGTTACGGACTATTTTCGAACATTCGAAATTTGGCATGTTTCTATAAATCCCTATCTTTTAGTATCCTTTTTGCAAGACTTGTACAACTCCATTTGGCAAGATTTGAACAACTCCATTTGGCAAGACTTAAGGCTGTGCAATCCCTTTTGGCAAGACTTAAGGCTGTACAATCCCTTTTGGCAAGACTTAAGGCTGTACAACCCCTTTTGGCAAGGATTAAGGCTGTACAATCCCTTTTGGCAAGACTTAAGGCTGTACAACCCCTTTTGGCAAGACTTAAGGCTGTAAATCCCTTTTGGCAAGACTTAAGGCTGTACAATCCCTTTTGGCAAGACTTAAGGCTGTACGGTCCCTTTATTGAGCCTCGGTATTTTTATCTTCTAGTTGTTAAGTCTTTGGTATCAATTGACCGGTGTTCGAACCCACGACCTCCCGCTGTTATGTTTGCGCTTACTAGCCCAACTGAATTTCTCACCGGCTACATGTGCTACTACTATGTTTGGAACAGGCAAAGAATTGTCTGGGTTACCTAGGTGCTGAGATGGTATCCCAGATGGATTGGTTTTGTCATGCAAATAAGTTTTTACATCTGCAAAGAGTAAATGATTTTTAAAAAAATAACTGAATGTGTTTATAACAAGAAGCCATATGTATTGTCCTAATGTTGTTTAGCTTTAAATGCTTGTTAATGCAAGGTAATCGCGAGACCTGGGATCAATCTAGTCTCAGATTGGAGAAGCAGGGGATTGAACTCACTACCTTAGATATCTTGTTAAGCGTTTTACCGTCTACACTATACTGGCAATTTTTATGATATCAAAAATACTTAAGCACGTGTGGAAAGCCGGGTGACTACTATCTTTACAAGAAGATCAAATTTATGTAAATCTTTTAAACATTGCAACAAAGTGGCCATGGTGACCAAAACCGTCTTTTGTAATTAATTCAATGCAAGCATGGCTGAATATGTAACTTGGAGTGGGTGGAGTAAGAGATTATTTTAAACCCTGATTTAAAAAATATGTTTAGTCACGATTTTATATATCATGAGAGTACAGTAAAAATCGAGTAAATTAATAGGAAAATTCCAAACGTACCAACAGCAAAATGTAGAAGGCAAATAATAATAATAATAATAATAATAATAATAATAATAATAATAATAATAATAATAATAATAATAAACTTTAACGAGTTTAACACGTTTGGTCATGACATACCTATCTGCCATGTGGTCCACAACCGTTGTAATTGGTTATGCTTTAAAATAGCCATGCTTAAATTTTATTTTCGCCTCCCGCCAGCATTTGTATGTGTATGTGTACGCATGTCAGATTTTTCTTATTTTAAAGAAGAAATAAAACGCAAAGCAGACAAACTATTGGCCTGTCAAAATTGGACTTGGCTCCTTTAAGCAAATGTCAAGGGGCCTCTGATTTCATAGCCCTTAATCTAGATTGAAAACCGACTGATATGTTGAAATCCTCCGAAAAAAAAAGTATGTAAGGTAGAAGAGAGACTTTCATATCGAAGACAAAGGATGTAGAAGGTCTGAATAGATCGCTAAAGGCTTGGATAAATGTAGGTCTAAGTAACAACCAAAAGTGTAGATAAGCTGTAACATAGAATCTTCGTAGCCCCTGACCGTCTGGCGCATTATTTTATGGATCCTGTATTCAAGCAAACACTTGTCGTGTTATATCTGTTTCATAAAACAATATTATTACCAACAAAGAAACGGGTCAAGTGTATTGTACGATAAGACATATATATATATATATATATATATATATATATATATATATATATATATATATATATATATATATATATATATATATATATATATATATAATACGTGTTAAGAATGCATTATGGACGAATTTACTTTAATGCACAAGCACGTAACAGTCTTTCTTTCAGTTTTGATGTCCTACTTCCATATACTTACTACTGATTTGCATACTCTTCTGCAGCAGTGTAAAGCTCATGGATACATATTATGCCATTTTAATCGTATCTAATGTAGTTAGGAGAAAAAAATGTTTCCGGTCGGCCGACCCAGTTTCCCGTTGCCGATCCTAGCATTCTCCCACTCCATCCCACGGGTAAAACAAAATCACAAAATTATGTATAATGTTTAAAAAAAAAATAAATTGCCCTAATTTTAAAATCAATGTCATATGAAACAAACAACACTTTGTTACCTTTTGGTTATTAGTAACGGTTTTTTTTCTAAACAATGAATTTAAGCTTTCTATAGTTATGGGTCTGAGGTGTTCCAATGTTCCGTGTTTTGGAATAAATTTGATGCTACTTGATTACTTGATTAGTCTACATTATTGCAGTCTCTCTCTCTCTCTCTCTCTCTCTCTCTCTCTCTCTCTCTCTCTCTCTCTCTCTCTCTCTCTCTCTCTCTCTCTCTCTCTCTCTCTCTCTCTCTCTCACACACACACACACGGCGCAGGAAAATATTTGGAAGTTACTCGTCCCCGTCCTCCATATGCCCAACACACTACAATTCTCCAATACACTCCTTACACTTGTAGTAAAGA